TTTATTTATTTTATATAATTGTTGTATCTTAAATCTTAATACACACTTTTCCCAAAGAACTGAAACCAAATATATGCCTTCAAATCTCGTCAATCTGATGGCCGCTAGAACTCGACTTCGAGATCGAGCTAAGCATGAACAATTGAAGAACGATTTGATCGAGCACTCTAAATTTTCTCGCAATCAAGTTTAAATTTTTACTGTACTTTATGTTATAATTTCTATCTTATAATTTATCTCTTTTGTATGTATCAAATTCTAAATTTGCAATAATTATAAGATTTTCTTAAATTACAAATTATAAATTTATTTAATTTTTTAAAAAATAATTTTTTTCTAAGATACCCAACTTAAGATCCTACCTATAAACACTTCTCAAAACTAAAAACAAAATTAAAACTCCTAAATTCTACTTTTTCAAATTTAATACTAAATTAATGTAAGATACCCTAATTAACATACTACCTATAATGTTGCTCTTATATATTAACATTACTTATTTTCTTTGAATATGGAGAGATCCATATCAAACATTACACACATTCGTATATTTTTCTTTTATTTATAAAAAGAAAGAAGTTAACCAACAAAGTCAAAAGGTGGTAAATGTGGTTAAGAAATTTCTACAGAGAAAAGTGCATTTAGAGCTGATTGAATCCTTTTTAGGAGGAAACACATTAATCGACGATCAATGTCAACTGTTACTGCTTTTATATAAGCTAATGAAATCACATTCATATTCTATGATGATTTCGTAAACAAATAAAATACATCGTTCTTGGTTAATTGTGTTTGCGTGTCTACGCATGTGTGTGCTCGTCGTATGAAATGAATCATGCGGTATGAGTAATTGAGTATGCATTTAATTCTGAAATTGCAAAACATTGAAATAAGATATAAATATTAAGGCTGAAAAGCCCATATAATTTATTGGGCCTTAAGATATGAACATAGTAAAACATGCCGCTAACGATATATCCCTAAAATACCCTTTGCCTTGTAGAATGAGTAGAATGATTTTTGAATTGACCGTTATACCCTTGAGTCAGAGTATAAATTCACACCAACCCCAATGCGGAGACCTCGAAGTGAACTCCATTGACGCTGAAGTGAAGGAAAGGAGGGAAGTTAAAGTTTAGGTTCGAAACAATACAAAGTGAGTTAGGTGAAAAACGATAGAAACCCCACAGCAATGGCCCCTGCTCTTGCCGTATCCCGAGATCTCACCGCCGCCGTCGGCTCTCCGGATAATGCTCCGGCGAAAGGACGTGCTTCGGTTTACAGCGAAGTTCAATCAAGCCGTATTAACAACGCTCTCCCTTTGCCTTCTGTACTTAAAGGAGCTTTCAAAATCGTCGAAGGTCCCGCTAGTACCGCAGCCGGGAATCCAGGTGAGAGATCGGAGATTGAATTATTTTATCAGTCTGATCTGATGATTTTTTTTTTTTCGATTTGTGTGTCGTTTGCTTGATCTAGATCTTGTTAGTTTGGTGAGAGAATTGATTAACTGTATGATTTTGGTGAAACTTAATGGCTTATGATTATGCAATGGCTCAAGAGGAGTCTGAGAAATTTCTTACAGATCTGTGGTTTATAGACTTATTAGAGTGTTCTGGAGGATTTAGAGTTGCTTTGATATGACTGCAGATGAGATAGCGAAGTTGTTTCCGGGTCTATATGGCCAGCCATCTGTAGCAGTGGTCCCAGATCAGAGTGCACCTTCTTCTGCACAGAAATTGAAGATCGGTGTTGTCTTGTCCGGTGGTCAGGCACCTGGTGGGCACAATGTCATTTCTGGACTGTTTGGTAAGGGTTTCAAAGACATAATTTTGTGTGTGTAATGATGATTTTCGTCGAATTCTAGCTGACATTGTCCTGATTTGTAATTTTGTTTCCGCTCTTAGATTACTTGCAAGAGCGTGCCAAAGGAAGCACATTTTACGGCTTCAAGGGTGGTCCAGCTGGTATCATGAAATGCAAATATGTTGAGTTGAATGCTGAATATATTCACCCGTACAGAAACCAGGTACTTGGCTTGTTTACTTTATAGATCCTTCTCACGAGCTTTGTGATTGATTTGGGATGTTAGAACTTACAGCATCATTTTTAATTCACTTTAAGTCAAAGCAATCATCATTTACACTATGATGATCCACATTTAGTGGAGCATAAGTCCTTTTGGTTGGATATGCTTGTCTTTTTATGTCGATGTGGTTATAATTCTCTTTTGGTCTCAACAGGGTGGTTTTGACATGATCTGCAGTGGAAGAGACAAGATTGAAACACCTGATCAGGTTGAATATTTTTCGTGGTTTAAAAAGAATTGTTACTGCTTCCAAAGTCTCTATTCCATGCAGTGAGTAATTATAAATGGCTCACATGTGCAGTTTAAACAAGCTGAAGAAACAGCAAAGAAGCTAGATTTGGATGGATTGGTGGTTATCGGTGGAGATGACTCCAACACCAATGCTTGCCTCCTTGCTGAAAACTTCAGGTAATACTGGCAGAGTCATATTTGTTTCATGTCTGTTTATTTATCCTAGTCCAAAGTTGTTGGTCTTGAAGATTCATGTGAACAGAATCTTTAATGCTTTATTGATTCAGCATTTTGACTTGCTTTTTACTTGTATTATTAGGAGTAAGAACTTGAAAACCCGAGTCATTGGTTGCCCCAAGACCATTGATGGTGATTTGAAATGTAAAGAGGTTCCTACTAGTTTTGGGTTTGATACAGCTTGCAAGGTGAGATACCGTTTGGATCAGTTTTTATCTGGACTTTCCTTGCTTTCCCTATACTAATTGTTACATAACTAATTGTGTGCTTTTGATTTTATTCCTTGTCAAGAATCTAATTGTTTGTTTGTTCTACCAGAAGAATAGTTTGAAAAAGAAGCCTATTGAAACATTTTATTGCTTATGCAGATCTACTCTGAAATGATTGGAAATGTCATGATTGATGCAAGGTCAACTGGAAAGTACTATCATTGTAAGTAATGGTTAACAGAAATTCTTATAGTTGCATAATTCTTATAGTTGCTTTATTTCTGACAAGCCCTATTTGTTACTGATGCTTACAATGTCGTATCACATTTTCATTGCAGTTGTACGACTTATGGGTCGTGCTGCTTCCCACATTACACTTGAGTGTGCTTTACAAACTCACCCTAACATAACAATTATTGGAGAAGAGGTACACTCTTGTTTGACTTCAAAATGCCCTAAATATTTGAGTCTTATTGATGTTAAAATTAAACTGCATATCAGATTCATTTTGACGACACTTCCTTGAAGCCAATAATCTATATTAATATCGGAATTAATGTTTCAGAGAGACCTCACACAAGTCTCAGTAGCAATCAGTCTACATTTACTTAGCTTTGATCTGGAAAAACTCTTTTGCAGGTGTCCGCCCAGAAGCAGACTTTGAAGAATGTGACGGACTACATGGTAGATGTTATCTGCAAACGTGCTGAACTTGGTTTCAACTATGGTGTCATACTGATTCCAGAAGGCCTGATCGATTTTATCCCCGAGGTGTGTTTTTGTGTCTGATATTAGAATATACCACTTTCAAGCCTATTAATATGATTGTGTTCTTATCTGATGTGTTCTGTAATTTATGACTTCTTAGGTCCAAGAGCTGATCGCAGAACTGAATGAGATTTTGGCAAATGAGGTTGTTGATGAAGATGGGCTGTGGAAGAAGAAGCTCACAGAGCAATCCTTGAAGCTGTTTGATCTTCTACCTGCAGCGATTCAGGAGCAGCTGATGCTTGAGAGAGACCCACATGGAAATGTCCAGGTAATTGATAATAGTCTTGTCACCTCATATTAAATTTCCACTAGCTTCATATCTCATAGATTATTTATAGATATTTTTCGTACATCTTGATAGGTGGCCAAGATTGAGACTGAGAAGATGCTTATTCAAATGGTTGAAACTGAATTGGAGAAAAGAAAGCAAGCTGGTGCATACAAGGGAAATTTTATGGGACAGTCTCATTTCTTCGGGTACTTTCTCTCGTTTTTTTTCTTTCAGTGAACTAAGTTCCTATATATGGCTGCATAATACATAACTTATCTATCTATGTGAGGGAAACAAACTCAATTTATTGATTTGAAACAGGTATGAAGGAAGATGCGGCTTGCCTACAAACTTTGATGCTACATACTGTTATGCACTTGGTTATGGCGCTGGAGTACTCCTCAACAGTGGGAAAACGGGACTGATTTCTTCGGTTTGTACTCCACTATTTCCATTCGAATCAGTTTTTCTCTGTTTCTCATGTATCTGTTGATCGAAACTGCCTTTTGGTTAACTAGTTTATGCTTAAATTGAGATTAGTACTTTATTGGCGCAGGTTGGGAACTTGGCTGCTCCTGTGGAAGACTGGACTGTAGGTGGGACTGCTCTCACTGCCTTGATGGATGTCGAGAGGAGACACGGTAAGAAAATAAATCAATAAGAGTCTACTCAGATTTGAAATATGGATATTAAACAATCTGTGTTGAATATCAACTTGTAGGTAAGTTCAAGCCTGTGATCAAGAAAGCAATGGTGGAACTTGAAGGTGACCCTTCGATTCCCTTCTCTTTTTATAGTTTTTGTCCCTGCGGTTTAATGGTCTTGCTAAGTGACTTTTTGGAATCCGCAGGTGCACCTTTTAAGAAATTTGCATCGCTGCGTGAGGAATGGGCATTGAAGAACCGATACATCAGCCCAGGTTCGTTGCAGTTTTGTTTTGTCTTAAAGCAAAACACGTGTTGTCTTTGGATTCTTAGTGTACCCTCTGTGGAAATATTATTGCAGGTCCGATCCAATTCACAGGACCAGGTTCAGATGCTCTCAGCCACACGCTACTTCTCGAGCTCGGGGCTCAATAGTCTTCTCTTGATCAGCAACCATTCCCTTGCTTTTCTGTTTTCCCTAGAATTTCACATTTGGTCTCTTTCTATATTTGTTACCTACGTACCCGTACCGTTTCGGTTGTGTTTATTTCTCTCTTGCTTTTCTTCAATATATAAGATAATTATAATATGGAAGACATAGTCTAAATTTAATACAAAGTTCTTAAATCTGAGTGACCAATTCAAAATTCTTCGTGGTTCTATTCGAAAAAATTTAAGCTATGGATCAACAAATGATGGCTTCGGAGATTTTAACTATATTGTTGAATCGAAATGTATTGTAAACGGTAAACCCCAAGTTTTGTTTAAGCATAGCTAATGATGATAGGCTTTAAAGATGATACATCAAGATCAGGCTTCTAAATTTACTTTAAGTTCTAAAGATGGAGTCTAAATTTCTAAAATATAGATGTGATATATAGCCAACTCTTCTTTAAGCCCATTAAAAGATATACCAAATGCATGGTAGGTTCTAAAGATACATCATGGTCCCATAATTGATTAATTTTAAATAACTCTCTACTGGTAGATTGGTTTGTTAATGGGTTGTATTCTACTAGATTTGCTAATTCGAAAGCGAAATATCACATATGACTTTACTTTGTGTATATAGTAAAAAAGTTTATAGATTCCATTACCTAGCCTTGCTAGTCGATTTTTTTTTTTTTCCGGTTGCATCTTGCATGATGTAGTTGTATTATTTACTTTTTGTTGGTGATAAATAATCAAAGTAGTTGTGATTTAGAAATTCAAGATTTAATTTCAGAAAAAATACCAAAGGGTATAGTATATTTTCTGTTCAATGTTCATATAGCTTAAAACTGTATTCAGAAAACGTGATAATTTAACGTGCATGCATATATATATGGGTCGAAAATTAAACTAAGATCAAACGTTAATGATGTTCGATGTTTCGAACGAAGAAAATACTCTCACTATCATCGTTAGATTCGGCAAATCTTTCGCTTACTTATTTATGGCAATTTCTTACATCCTTTAGTTTAGTCTCTCTCTCTCTCCCCTTTTGTCGATTCGGACACAGAGAGGGGGAGGGATACAAAGAAAAGGAGTCTTTCGTTGATCATGGGACAAGAGAGACTGGACGACGAAGAGAGACCCGAGTCACGTGATCTTTACGTCTACGGTGGTGCGCGTCTAGGCCCGACCCGGATCTCTACATTAGCCGGCGACCTGAATCCAAAACAATCGATAAAGCGAGGGAAGAGGAAGAGAATACGAGCTTGTTCCGCTTGTTCCGAGAGAAGAACGGCTAAAACAGCCATAGGCGTTATCGCGATTTTGGGTTTCTTTTGTCTCGTTAATTGGTTCATGCTCTCTCGCCTTCACGAAGGTCGTGTCTGGCTCCGAAGAGGACTCTCTAAGAACCCTAACCGGAACTCAAAACTAGTTTTTTCACAGGTCAATGACTTGTTTCCTTTAATTACTTACGTTTCTTGTGTTACACTCTTTTCACATTGTGCTTTTTTTTCCTGTACTTAAAGTTTTTTTTATCTAACTTTTCTTTGGTGTGTGAATCAGAATGAAGAACGTAAGAAGTTTGAAAAAACAAAGAGGAAATATAATGGAACATATGGTAGGATGTTGAGTTTGGCTGCTCATGCTTTGGCAGAGGTAAATCATGTATTCTTCAAAAACCAATCTTATCTTCCTTTCTCCGTAACACTGTTTTGCTACTTCGATCGATTTCTAATTTGCATGGAAATGGTGTTCGATTTTGATCAGAACAAACTTGAGCCAAAAGAGTTATGGCAGGAGCCAAGGGAACAAGCCTCGGCATGGAAGCCTTGCGCTGATCAACGTTCTTGGACCCCTGACGGTCTCTCTTTTAGTCCTTTTTTATCTCTCTTTAACATTGGGTTGAAGCTTGTTTCCTATGGAGTTTTACTTTACCTGATTTTATAGATGGCAAAAATGGATATATAATGGTAACTGCAAACGGAGGGATTAATCAACAAAGAGTTGCTGTAAGTTTTCTTCTCCTTGTCCTACAATTTATCTTTAAAATTTCTCTAGTAGATTACAACCATTGGATGTCTTCACAGGTATGTAACATTGTTGTTGTAGCCCGATTGCTCAATGCGTCTCTCGTCATTCCCAAGTTCATGTTAAGTGACGTTTGGACAGATGCAAGGTAACTATTGTAAGCTCTCCGTCCTCTGTCTCACACTGTCTTACCGTTTTCAAATCATACAGAAGAATTGTTTTTACATTTGTAACGGATTTATTGAACTTTGCTACTTCATAGTCATTTTGGAGATATCTACCAAGTGGAACATTTTATAAAGTATTTGTCACCTGATATTCGGATAGTAAAGGAACTACCAAAAAACCTTCAATCTTTGGATCTTGAAGCAATCGGCAGTGTCGTGAGTTTTCCCAAATCTTGATGTAGACGAGTCTCATCTTTCTTTCTCTTTTTTTTTGTTTGTTTGTTTGTTTTATGTTTTGTCACTTTTATCTCTTAAGGTGACAGATTCAGAAGTGATGAAGGAAGCCAAACCAGACTTCTATATGCAACATACTCTCCCTATACTAGTCAAGAACGGAGTAGTCCACTTTGTTGGATTCGGAAATCGTTTAGCCTTTGATCCAATTCCGTCTGAGTTACAGGTAGATATATAATTCTTGAGTCCTCTGCATTTCTATCTCTAATTAGCTAGCTTCTTTGTGCTAAACTTTTTTGGTAGTAGAGGCTTCGGTGCAGATGTAACTTTCACGCGCTACACTTTGTCCCAAGAATACAAGAAACTGCGGCTTTGCTGATGAGGAGACTACGAGACAGCAGATCTTACGTTGCACCACTTGATCAGCATCTCCTTGGTCCTAAATTCGCTTCCTTAATCTTGGGAAATGAATCTAATCCTCCACTAGTGCAGCATGAGGCGACTTCCTCTTCTAAGTACCTTGCTCTCCATCTACGGTTTGAAATCGACATGGTGGCTCACTCTCTATGTTATTTTGGAGGAGGCAAAACAGAACAGAAAGAGTTGGATTCTTATCGCCAAAAACACTTCCCTTCTCTCTTAACTCTAACCAAAAAAAAAAAGTTTGTTCCTCTTACTTCAGACCCAAGCTTCCTCTCTTACTTGTTTCCGATGCTAAACCTAAATTACTCTGTTTCGGATTCTTTTGTAATCAAGGTTCCCATCTGCTGATGTTTTGAGGACGGAAGGACTTTGTCCGTTAACACCCGAAGAAGCGGTGCTTATGCTCGCTGCTCTCGGCTTCAACCGTGAAACCCGAGTCTTTGTAGCTGGCGCAAATATATATGGAGGATCAAAACGGTTAGCCGTGTTAACGAGCTTATACCCGAACCTAGTCACCAAAGAGAAGTTACTAACACAATCCGAGCTACAACCATTCAAGAACTTTTCATCTCAGGTTAACACAAGAAAAAAAACGAAACTTTTCCCTTTAGCTTTACTAATTTGTTCCGCTTAAGACCTCAACAAAGGTTTCAAACCGGTTAGAGATTATTATGTTTTGTTTACGTTTGGTGTAGCTAGCGGCTTTAGATTTCATAGCTTGTGCTGCGGCAGACGCGTTTGCGATGACGGATCCAGGGAGTCAGTTGTCGTCTCTAGTATCGGGATATCGGATATATTACGGAGGCGGGAAAATGCCGACGATAAGACCGAACAAACGGAGACTTTCGGACATACTGATGAGGAACAGTACGATAGAGTGGAACGTGTTTGAGCAAAGAGTAAGAAAAGCGATTAGACAAACAAAACATGTGTCTGCTAGACCTACTGGACGTAGCGTTTACCGTTACCCAAGATGTAAAGAATGTATGTGCCATGCATGATCCATGATTCATCATGATTGTACTAAAAATAAAATTTAATGGTTTTTTTGCCATTCCGTTTATTGAGATGGTTAAAAACTTTTCAACTTTTAAAAGTAACCGATCAACAATTTCGGTCTTTTTTTTTTTTTGATGATTTAACCCATTTTATCCATTTTTTGTATCATCTTGTATTTGAATTAAAACGTTCGAGTTGAGTTGTATTTTAAGATATTATCAAGAAATAGAAGAATACTAGGTTTAAGTTTTACCACTTAAACTGAGTTTGAAATAGAAGAATACTAGGTTTAAGATTTATGGTTGGTCAAGTGTTCATAATCACACATCACAACAACACCTTCTTCTCTTGCGGCTAAAACGCTGTCGTTTCAGCATTCCCCGCTTCCACAGACTTCAAACGACAGTAACTTGTATACATCTGATGTTTTATTGGAACGTGTGGTCAAGCTCAAAGTTCGGCGCGTGAGGTTATCAACAAGTTCTCTCGTTCTATAGGGAAACACACGTGGCAAGTACAGTAATACAACCGTTGCCGCCCCCACGTGGCAGCTTAGCTGATTTCGTGATCAAATCTAATAAACCATGCATTAATTAATTAATTGACAATTAATTACTTACAAATCTACTGGATTATTTTCTTAAAACTTTACAATGACGAAATTAACTTTGAAGACAGAGCCAGAGACTCTGACTATACGCGCACCAACATCACCTTTTCTATATATATTAATACACCCAAATGCTCAACAACAAGAAACAAAAATCGAAAAAAAAAAGAAAAAAAAGAAAAAGGTTCTTCATCTTCCTCGTCCTCACTTTATATACCATTCCTTATTCCGTGTTTATTCAGCGTTTTACAACAGCTAAAGAAACGACACAACGCCTCTATTTTTCTTACCCTTTTTGTTTGTGTGCAAAGAATAAGGTCGATCTTCTCCGATCTCTGAAGAGTTGGTGGTTACATTTCTCAAGCTGCTGTTAATAAGAGTGACAAATCCAAAGGTATGTATCCTTTACTTGTTTAATTTGGTTTTTTTAGTTTTTTTCTTTTACATTTTTCTCCTTCCATTTGGTGCTATTGGAGTTAACTTATAGTTTAGATTGCTTATACAGAATTTTTAGGAAAAGTGTATTTTGTTGTCGGAAAGAGACGTTAACTCCCGAAAATTAATAAAACACACACAATTTTCTGGGTTTTGGGTTTCTCTTTAGAGATTTTGATTCAAATCACTTCTTAAATGTACTAGTTTCTCAATTAAAAGTTTTAATTTACTCTTTGAACTCTTATGTCATTTTTTTTATTATTGACTGATGATGTTAAAATGTAGAGAGATTATATAT